TAGTGATTTCATTGCACCACAGAATATTAAGAATGGGAAATCTAGATCATGGGTATCTGTAAACCTGAATGTAAAAAATTGATCTATGTCAAATTGAACAGTTGTGATAAAAAGATTAAGTAGTAAGATTATAAAGATTATAAGTGTTTTGATAATGATATTGTAATAAAATATAAGAGTACAGTCAACTCTCCATAAATGCACCCCCCTTGGGACTAGGTATAAGTGTGCATTTAGAGAGGGTGTGCATTTATAGAATTATCACGTGATTTAATTATATAATGATTTTAATGAATACTATATTTATTTATTATTATTAAGAAATCTAAAAATCAATACAAAAATAAACCTATCTAAAATATTTATTTATAGTAGTTTGCTGCATTAAATTAATTTGTTCTCTTTTAATAAATTTCTCAATTTTATCCATTAATTTCATATAACCACTTGCATTATTCTCTTGTTGAATTAAAAATGTGTGTACAGTTTTTAAGCTTTTCAATGCTTCGTTAATGCAAATAGTTTCTACTTCGGTACTATCATCTACTTCATCTGGATGATCTGCATCTGACCCACTTTTAAATAATCTTGCAATCTCTGAAATAATTTGATCTTCTGGAATTAAATAAACTATATTTTCATCAGGAATAGTTAAAAATTCCTTTACTTGCATTCTGTTACGAAGATTAAGAGCTTCAATTGCTTTACCAAGCTCATCATCGATGCCATCTTTATAACATCAGGAAATTTGTTTAGGCATAATTTAGTGTAATATTTCAAAGGTGGTGTAAAATTTCAAAATATTACACAAAAACGTAATATTACAAAAGTTTATGCTCTTAAATTTAAATAATTATAGTAATTTAAAAATATCTTGCTATCTACTGATCCAATCAAGACGATCTATAGCTCATTGGAATCAGCTCATCAAGACGAATCGAATGGTGGTAAAATCGCATCTTTATGTTTGATAAATGGCTTTCTATTAATTTAAAACTTTATTGTATACTATAGAGCGTTTTATCAACTGTGGAAATGTGATTTTACTACCATTCGATTTGTTTTGATGAGCTGATTCCAATGAGCTATAGATCGTCTTGATTGGATCAGTAGATAGCGAGATATTTTTAAATTACTATAATTATTTAAATTTAAGAGTGTAAACTTTTGTAATATTACGTTTTTAGTGTAATATTTCAAAATTTTACACCACCTTCGAAATATTACACTAAATTACGTCTAAACAAATTTTCTGATGAAATGTCATCCAAAAAAAAAGTATTGGGAAGAATTTCAGTATGATTCCAACAATTTTGAATAGTATCGGCTGAAATTTCATCCCAACTTCGAATAATGTACTGGATTGCTTGTAAAACATTCATTTTTAAATCTTGTACAAGCTGGCCCGCTTCAACTTGCTTTAACATCCACCTAAAATAAAAAAAGTTTAATAATTGATTTATGAAAATAATAAAATAATAAATTAAAAATTTATAATAACCTAATATGATAATGCCTATAATGCTTTTTAAAAGCCATAATTATTTCAGCATCCATTTGTTGAAGTTTTGATGTTGTGTTAGGAGGTAAAAAATAAACATCAACATATAAAAGTGTTAGATTTTTTAGCTTATGACTTGAACAATTATCAAGTAGCAATAAAACACGCTGCCTCCATATTTTTGGCCAACTTGACGATCAAATTCCTGAAGCCACTTTTGAAAAATAGTCGTCAGCATCCAAGCTTTACTGTTGCTTTGGTAAGTCATTGGTAAATTGTTAATATTAACATTTTTAAAGCATCGTGGTTTTGCAAATTTACCAATTACTAAAGGATTCAACTTATGAGATCCATTAGCATTTCAACATAATGCAATAGAAAGGTGTTCCTTATTTTTTTTACATCCTGAAAGGCGTTTTGAAGCTAACATTCGATCTGGTTCTAATCTAAAAAATTATATAAATTAGTGTGAAATAAAAGAATGCATTTTATAAATTTTAAAGTAATATATACCGATAAAAAAGCCCAGTTTCGTCCATATTATAAATTCATTCAAGAGGGTATTCTGCACATTTATTTCGTAATAATGGTAAAGCTTCAGCAATAGCATTATCATCAGCAGAATCTGCTTCTCCTTGAAGCTTTATTTGACGAATATTATTTTGATCTTTAAACTTTCGAAGCCAGCTAGAAGAAAATTGTAATGTTCCTTCAGGGACATTTAATTCATCAGCTAATTGTTTTGCCTTTTCAACTAGTATGCCATCACTTAAAAATTGTTCTATGCTGATAAGTTAATACAAATTCCTTGAGGGCAAGCTCAAGTTCCGGAACAACAACAGCTTTATGACGTTTTGCTTCTGGATTAATAACTTCTACAGCAAGTCATTTATCTTTACTTTGTAAAATTCTTGTAATTGTAGATTCGTCAACTCTAACTCCCCACTTTTTTTCAATCCAATCTACATATTGAGACCGAGTCTTTTTGTTATCACGAGCATAAAGACAAAACTCATATTTTTGAAGATTCGTCAAGGAAACTTTTTTTTTTTTGGCATATTATTGCTAAAAAAAGTTAGCAGTTAATCAAATTACGCGTACTGCGTTATACATGCCACCCAAATTATTTTGAACTGCCATAATTATAAGTAAAATCCCAAATTCAATTATGACATCCCAAATTATTTTGGCACTTTACATAGTAAATTATATATAAACCGAATGAATTATGGCATCCCAAATTATAATTATGGCATCCCAAAATAATTTGGGCAGCATGTATATACTGCGTGTACTGCGCATTATTATATAGTTTTAATTTGATCAACAGTACATGTTTATTTAACTCAAGTTTAGCAATTTTTATCGTTACAAATGAGTAAATAAAGGTTTTTCCAATGATTGAAATTTCGGAATTTGCTCATCAAGTTATACAAAAATCACGTAAGTGCATTTATAGAAAATTTTATTACATGTCCGGACTGAGAAAATTATTGCACATGTAAAATATAGAGGGTATACATTTAGCATTAAGTTCCCAGCTTGAGACCGAACAAAAGGGTGCATTTATAGAGGGTGTGCATTTATGGAGAGTACATTTATGAAGAGTTGACTGTATCACTAATAATTCTCAGTAGAAAATTAATAATGATGGTAAACAATGTAAAAGTTTCTTAAAGATACATGACAAATACAAAAGGTAAAACAAGTAAAATACACGAAAAGTTTACTACAAAAAAAAACTAACAAACAAATCATACAAAAACACAATACTTCAGATAATACAATCTAAATTCTCTGTTAGATCTACTCAGGTGTTAACAACTTTATTCAAAAGAAAATATTGCCTTATATATATTTACATTTTCACATATGACAGTTTGAACTTATCAATGTTATCCTATTAAGCTATTATACAATCAATCAATTGTCCTTTTCTTATCACAATTATCTGTAAAAACCTTTCTATTGCTATTTCGTATAAGTTCCATGTGTTTATATGATTCATCAACTATGTAAATTTCAAGAAACTTCTCTGGCTAAACTAATAAAGCAATTTTCTAAGGTTATAAATATTAAACTGATACTTTATAATTGAATACTTATGAGTCAAAAGCAATAATAATACTAAAAGTGGTTAATTAATGTAAGTAACTAAATAAAATTAAAATATACTAGTCTACTAGCCGTTAAACCCGTTGCTTTGCAATGTCAGATAAACATACATGTGATCGGTACGATGGTTAAATGTTATACGCGATTTTATACAGTCTTTTGGGTGCACAGGTATAAATTTGTAGTCTAAACGTTACAGATACACAGGTATAAATTGTAGTCTAAACGTTATGGGAACACAGATATAAATATGTAATCTAAACGTGACTGTCACACAGGAAAACAATTATTATATAGTAGATAGATAGATAGATTATAAGAAATGTAATAAACTCAGCCATAGGATTTCTGCGCACTACATCATGTGACTTGTTCGATTTCCATGGGTAACCCTAACAATAATCTTTAATTAATTCTATCTTAAGAAAAAGTTTGGTAACACTATCCATATGTAAAGATCAACCTGGCACACATTTCAGAATGCTATACTAGTTATGGTAAACATTAATTTGGTAATACAACACTCACAATTAGTAATTTATCTTACATTCCCATGAAAAAAGAAAATTCATGTATGATATTATGGCACGCCGGACTGGACAGATGTTTAAACGTAAAAGCTAAATCATTTGACGTTTAAGGTTAACTGCGAAATTCAAATGATTTGCTGTACCGACAATTTGTTTGACTTTATAGTTAAATTCTTTGCCAATACTGTCAAACAGTTTGGCGATATGAAAATAATTTTTCATATTTGGTTAAAATTCAAATGGTGCAATTTAAGTAATAATTTTCTTTTTAAAAGTCTCGTGAAATCCTATTTCCTTTATAGGAAATTTGTTTATAGATTTGCAAATACTTTGGAATTAATGGCAAATGCTTTGGGAATTAATGACAAATGCTTTGGAATTAATGACAAATGGTTTATATTTAACGCCAAATGTTTTGTACTCCAAAGTCAAATGATATGGTGTTAACGTCAAATGATTTAGCTTTTACGTTAAACATCTGTCCAGCCTGGCGTGCCATATGAAATAGGCAAGTAGCCTAGAACATAAGTCATTACATTTCCATACTTAGTCAAATACAACCCCGTATGACCAAAAAATTTGCGTAACTGTTAATTCACTTTTTTTAATAAATACCCTCGGAGAATCAAAATTCTAATGAGAAATGATTAATCATTTTTTTTGAACACTAATCATTTTTTTTGTGTACTGATTCATTTTTTTGTGTACTGATCATATTACCACAGAGTCTATTTTATTATTAATCATGATGAATTCGGAAAGGTTTTTACAAGTATATATATATCCTCAAAATTTCTCTCACACTAAAAAACTCCTAAAAATTCTTTTTTTTACGGAATTATCTCCCAAACGAAATGGTGGTGTCAATAAATTGTTTACTCCTAGGAAAGACTTCTTTTCATAATACTTTTGCGGTTAATCTTGTTAATGATAGCGACATTTGTGGTTCTTTGGTCAATATTAATAATTTAAAGATTTCAGACCTCAAGTATCTAATCTATAATGAGATTAATCATGATATTAAGTTTAATTATCAGGACATTGACCTTTGGAAGGTTGACATCACTGAAAATGAGGGAAACAAGCTTAAACATGTTACTACCGAAGATGATATTAAAAAAAAGCTTGGAGGCAAGAAGTTGGTACCCATCCACTCAGTTAAGAAACATTTTTTGGAACAATTGCTTGTAGATGAGAACATTCACGTCATCGTACAATTGCCCGCTGCTGCTGGTAAGTGTCTCCTAATACTTTACCTCTCGAATAAGAAATTTGCAGTAACAAGATATTGAGTTTGGCTAGATACATTTTTTTTCATATCAAATAATAATTTTGTTTTTTCTTAAAAGTTATCATAGAATCTTTTTCTATGGTCATGGAAAAGATATTAGAAAACGTTGCTAGATCAAGTGATAGAACACCTGGTTTCTCTAGTAGTATACCTCTAAAGGAACGAAATATGGAATCAGCAATAAAATCAATCTCCAAAAATTTCAAACAATCTTTTATACGCCACAAACTGTTGCAAAACAAACCCTTCAATTTCTTGTCTGTTGTGGAGCTCCTGGTATTGGTAGGTCATTTTTATAAAGTATTGACATTTAATGCTTGTAATTCATCAAATTAATACTAATTGTAAACTAGGTAAAACTCGCTATGGACTTGAATTGTTTAACCATTTAAAAAACAATTCAGAAAAGGTTTTAGTAGATCTACACTCTCAGCCTGTTCCCGATCCTGATTTTTTATCAATTTACTTGATTTTGGACAAGATGTGGAGCTGGATTGCTATGATAACAATTTGACTGCTGATTCTGCAATTGCTTTACGTATTGCTTATAAATTCTTTGTTGTTGATGAATCGTATCAAATGCAATTTAATGTTTTCCGTCAAAAAATTTACGACCATTTCAAAGTGAATAGCACAATTGAATCTTTAACGAAATTTGAGTCAACCATAAATCTTAACAATGTAATTCAGAGCATTTGTATGTCTCGTCAATTAAACGATAATCGAACTCTAGTTATTCTCCTCCATATTGATGAAATTCAAATAATGTTCAATTATGAAAAATATTGGATGAGAAAGGGATTTACCAAGCGGTTATTACACAGGTTGGCCCTATATATGTTGGATAATAAAACTTTTATCCAAACATTTCTATCTGGGACAGCATTACAGGATGTTGTCAAGTTGAAGGAACCAACAAGCTATAATTTTAGCTATATTAATTGTCCTCTTCTCTCAATGGGTGCTTGTATAGAAATTGTAAATTATTTCGCAGTTAGAGAAAATGTTACAAATTACCAGTGGACTCTTGATCGATCATTTATTAAAATTCTAGATGATGCCCGTGGTCTTCCACGTGCAATCGAATATATTCTTGAGGAAATTTTGGAGAGAAACTTGTTTAAGAATCATAAGAATCATCCCTGGAATCTAACCGGTTTCTTCATCAAAATTGCGACGAGGTTAGACTTTAGGTATGTTAATACAAAATAAAAATACTCGTCAATTATTAATCCTTTCAGTCACTTGTATTAATCACATTTTTTTTTATTGCTCAGCTACAATATAACGACATTTGTTAAAGAACATAAAGATCTTGCCCTTACTTTGCTTAAAAATTGTTTGAAAAGTGATTCTATCGAAAGGACACATAAAGTGTTGAAAAGTGATGATAATTCACTAACTTATGGTGAACTAGAAAGAGATAAACACATTATCCTGGAAGATGTAGATGGAAAACTTTTTATTGCTATGCCAGTATATTTCATTCATTTATACAACACCACACTTAATCTCGCTGATGTTATTCTTTCAGAAACGCTCATTTCAAATCAGCGTAGTATGGAATGGCAACATTGGGAAACCTTCGTTGCACATTTTGAGATGTTTAAAGTTAATCTTCTTTTTGCATCAGGAAAGACGACTGCGAAACTTAATGAAATTTATCCTGGTGCATTTGGAAACGAGAAAACTTTGTCACTAAAATTCAAACTTAAAAATCTAAAAGGTATTGCGTACCTAGAGCACCAGTTTCCGAGTAAATATGAAGGTTTACGCTGCAGAAATACCAAAGTATCTCACACCTGGAAGGATAACATTGTATTTAAAAATGCTGCTTCATCTGAATTTGGTGATTCAATTCTTCGATATGTAAGTGAAGATAGTAATGGGTATTTTTTATGTTTACAATGTAAGTGGATATGGGGAAAAGATTTTCAGATTCCGTTGAAATTGCCTGATTTCGTAGGTGAGCATAGAAAAAATTTAGCTACCTTAGAGAAGTGTGATTCTGAAGAGATTAAGAAGGAAAAGATTATTACTGTATTATTCACGACAAGAGCGATTGATCCTGAATTGACCTACGACTTCAGTTCTGCTATTCCTGATAATATTCTTCTTGTTTGCAGAGACAATTTTCATCAACACTTTGGTAGGTTGTTCGCCTCCCGAGTTGATTTTGAATTATTGTCCGTCAACGCAAACTACACATGTCCAGATATCCTAACAAAAATCTTTAGTACAGAAATAAAAGATTCACCAGAGGCTTTGATGCTTAAACGACCATTTCACTCACCTGAGGATTTCAAAGATAGAGTAGCTTTCAATGATGGAGTAACTTTTGACAGTGATGAGGGAATTAAGGCGAAGATTTGCAGGCTCTCATATGTTCCATTTCAAAAACATCAAGTTTCGCAAATTCAAGAGCTACCTGCGTTTGAGCGCAGGGTTTTCCCGAGACTCGCGAATGAAGAAAGAATAAATTATCGTAATCTAGGATGACTCTAGTTATGATAAATTCACAAATTTTATTATTTGTTGTCACTGAAAGCAACGTTATATTCATTAAATATGATTCCATATTGATAATTAAAATATTGTAATAAAGTAACATACGTTATTATTTTTGCGGTAATTAGAATTCCTGTATTGTATGTTTGTCTATGTATGTGCATGCTTGCTTTTTTCGAATAATGTATTGTGTGATCAGACGTTCATACTTGCTTTCCATAAATATATATAAGAACCGCAAAAGTATCGGACTTGACCCTCCGGTCAATTATGCATGTTTATGCATAACAAAAAATTGTATTTCTTGACCCGAAATGTGATAATCGATAATGTGATAAAACAAAAAAATAAATTAATTGAACAAACTTTCAACAAATTTTAATTTCACAATTTTGACATTTTTGGCATGAAAGTATTTAAAATTATGGTTAGACTTTTTATAATGAAAGGCTATGTATACAATTTTTTAATTATAGAATATAATATTTACAACGAAACATAATTATATACTTTTTTTTACATTTATATAAATCAGCACCAACTAATCTAAGAGAAATTAGATTTTTTGATGAATTTAATGTTTCTTTGGAAGTCTTGAAAGAATTCTTTGAAAAATGGAAAGGTCGTCCTACACTTTCTATACTTACATCTAATTCTATTTATGAAGGAGAAGATAAAAGTAAGTTACAAGATTACTAAAAATGCTCTTGAGAAAATGTGTTGTTATCAGAAAAGTTGTTATCAGAAGCTTGATTAAATAAGAATAAGAATTGGATAACTCAATATGATTATTGTAGGAAAATTGAAAATTGACCGAGATCATTTGGAATTAGGGATGCCAAAAGTTCGGTTATGACCGATCATAACCGGTTTTTACCGGTTCGGTTACGGTTCGGTTCCAGTCTAAAACCGACCGGTTAACCGACGGTTTTATATATAAAAAAACCGATCAAAAAACCGATACTGCTAATTGATTATTAAATGACGATATATTACAAATTTGATACATATGATATTAAATAACTTGTTTTTATTATTCTGCGGAAATTATATAAGCTGTAAATCACTGCACCATTACTAAAATTAGTTTATTGGCTTATTTTCATATGCAAATGTTTTTTTGTAAAGTGCGCTTAAAAAAAAAAAAAATTTATTAAAATATTTTTATTCTTTTTTTAACAAATCATCAAAGTATCTATTTATTAATTTTTTTTGCCTAAATAATTGATTTTAAAATTAATGGATAATTTTGATGTTGACTCAAACTATACTTCAGAAGATGAGAGTGAATATTCTTTTGGGAGTTCCTCTCAACACTCAGCGTATAGTTTAGAAATGCACAGAAATGATATGATTTTAGATGATGATAATACAAATCAGCAGGAACTTGATGATGAGGAAAATGAAGATGATGAAAACCAAAGTAATAGAACGCCATCTGATGTATGGGAGCATATAGATAAAGTAACAGATCCAGAAAAACCTAAATGTAAGATTTGTAATAAATTTTTTTCAGCAAAAAGTTCTACAACAACATTGCGAAATCACATTAAAAAATATCACAAACATATTCATAGAGAAGCCAACCAAACAACTCTTAAATTTAAGGGCAACATTACTTCCTTTTATGATAAAGAAAAAAATGCTGAATTCGTTAAACTTCTTATTAAATGGATAGTAATTGACATGCTACCATTTTCTCTTGTTGATAGTGTTTATTTCAATGAATTTATACAAAAATTAAATCCAAAATTTAGATGTCCAGGTCGTACTACATTAAAAAATGAAATAATGTCTGAATTTAAATCTAGGCGTGAACATATTGTTGATTTTGTTAAAGATATTCCAGGTCGTTGCTCAATTACAACTGATATATGGTCAAGTATTAAAAATGAAGCATTTATTGGAGTTACAATTCATTTTATTACTAATGAATGGAAGTTGAAGCATTTTACACTTGAAGTTTTGCGAATAACTGGTTCTCATACTGGAAATGCAATTTATGAAATTCTCAATAAACTTTTAGTAGATTTTGATCTCAAACAAAAAATTATATCCATTACTACTGATAATGGAAGTAATATGGTTGTGGCTTGTAGATTGTTAAAAAATGATTTTGACATTCAAACACCTGCATTAGATTTTATTCATTCTCATTGTATATGTCATATATTAAATCTTGCAGTAAATGCAGGATTAAAACATGTAGAAAATTTAATTAAGAAGTTAAGAAAAATAGTAAAACGTGTTAGGAGAACCCAATTATATCTTGAGGAATTAGAAAGATTAGCAATTGCTGCTAATCATACATTTAAGCATCCAATTTTGGATGTTAAAACCAGATGGAATTCTGTATTCCTTATGGCTGAACGTGCATTAATTCTTAAGGATGACTTATTAATAATAAAATCTCGACATCAACCACTTCAGGATATTTGGCTTAATGAAAGGGAATGGGAAAAAATTGAAGTAAGTGTTAATTTTTATAATAATTATTAAATTATTATTTTATATTTAATTATTAATTACAAGTTTTAATTTTAGCATCTGGTTAATTTATTATCACAATTTCATATTGCTACAGCCGAACTTTCCACACAAACATATCCAACAATAGCATATGCAAGAGTAGTACTTTTAGGTTTACTTGTTGATCTTAATGAAAATAGAGGTCATAACTATTCTCTTAGTGAAGTTCTTTTGGCAATCCGTAATAAAATTCAAGAATATTGGGCTCACATTGATAAAATGACTCATGTTCCAGCATTTTTTGACCCAAGGTACAAAACAATTGCATACAAAAACTTGGAAATCAATGAGATTCTTGAACCCATTCGTAATAATTTTCCAGATTCAGCTTTAAGTAATTTGCCATCTAATAATAATGCATCTATATTTGTTCAACGTTTATCATCTGTACGTCAACAAAGAAATTCAAATACTGATGAATTGTTAAAATACTGGGAATCAGCAGATGCAAGTTTTGATATAGAACCATTATCATGGTGGCATGCTCATTCAACAGAATACCCTATATTATCAAAAATGGCCCAGAGTTATTTATCTGTACAAGCTTCTTCAGTACCCTGTGAACAATTATTTTCTTTGGCTGGTAATGTGGTAAGTAAAAAAAGAAATAGGTTGGATGAGGATACAACTAGGGCATGTTTGTGTTTAAGAAGTTGGATGATTGAAGGAATTGAATAACTTAAATATTTTAATTTAGTATAATGAATTTAAATATATTAATTATATATAAGGAGTTTCAATATTTTCCAGCAAAAATTTACTAAATTTAAACATTATTAGCATTATTCATTTATTAACATTTATTAGTATTTTTTTTATTGGTTTATTGACAATTATTTAGTTATTTTTTTTTGTAAAAATCATTAATAAAAAACTTTTAATAAGTTTAATGATATTGTTTATTAACGAATTATTAATAAATCAATAAAATTTAAAATTCGGTTTTGTACCAGTTTTACGGTTCGGTTTTACCGGTCGGTTATGCGGTCAGTTCAGTTTTGGTTGAAAACCGCGGTTTTAAAACTGAAACCGAACCGAACCGACCGTTGGCATCCCTATTTGGAATCGAAGGATAGACCAATTGATCTTGAGAAATATTGAAAGAGATATAATTACTATTAGGAATCGCATTAGTTGAAGAGAATGTAGATTGTGAATAAATTGAAGTAGGGAGCAAAGTATTGATGTTTGTATAATAAGGAATATTATAAAGAGTAGGTTGAAGAGTTGGTTGTGAATTAAAAGATGGATTCAAATCAAAATTGATGTTGTACGAAGCAGGTAAATTAACATTAGGTACAGATGGTCCCAAATTATTTTCATTATTCTTGTTATTCCGTTATCCTTAGCATTTTCCTGCAATTAAGATATTAGTGAAACAGTAGATTGGTTTTTATAATTTAAAAAATAATGATTACCTTATATGAACGAATTTGTCTTCTAATTCGTTTTGTTTTTCTATGCTGAGTTGAAAAGGCTTCCTTATTTTCCTTATCTTCTTGTAAAATAGAATTACATAAAATTCGTCGTGGTTTTGCAGAAGGTTTCGGCGGAGCTCCAATAGCATTAAAATCACGCTTATTGTTTAATTCTGAACAAAAAGGATCTCTATTTAATTTCAATGGTTTATTATCTGGCCAAATTTTTTATAATAATTATTTTATATTTAAATATAAATAAAATATCATGAAAAGAAATGAATAATTATACCTTGAAGTTCAAATAATCTTAAAATTTTATTATAAGCCACATGAGTATCTCCTTCATAAATTAACTAGTTTTTATTTTCTGCAGAAATAACGCATTTCTTATTCTTAAATAATCATAAAGATTTTCTGCATTTAATGATTCTTTATATATTCTTGCTGCATGACAGTGCTTACCACATCCCAAAAAGATCCATTCCAAATACTGTATAATCTAGGCATATTAAGCATTCTCCACTAAAAATATTTGTTAAATAATATCCTTCTAGTTCAGGAACTACACTATAATGATTCTTTGCAAACTTTTGATAAAGTGGATATAACTTTTCAATAATATTATCATCCATTTTCACAAAACTTCCAACGTATGATGATTCTAATACATTTAATTGATTATGTTTTTTTACATAAAAATAATTGTTGTTATTTGATGATTTTACGTATCCCATTAAGAAATAGAGTCACCCAAATTAAGTTATTTTAACTTGTCTGAAGAAATATGTTTTGATTGGTTTTCTTGTATGATAGTATTGATATAGTCAAATTAAATAAATGCTAATTAATAAATTTAAAATTAATTATAATTTATTTATTTGCTCAGCATCAAATAAAGTACTTAAACCAGCTTCAAAACTTGTTTCTCCGAACCTTTCAGTAATATTTGCTCTATTTAATTTTAGTCCATATAATCTTTCAATAAATTTACAACAGTTTTAATTCTGCTATGATTTGTTTCAATTGATTGATTCATTCTCTATGTGAAGTTATTAGTTGTCATTAAATTATCCTGTAAAGTTTGAGGAAATCTTCCAGTATCGAAAAAACCAAGTATCCACTCATCACTAATCCAATTATTATAATATCATTTATAATTTTTTGTTTTACATTATTAGCCAAATCTAAAGAATTTACAAATTTCTTATATTCAATAGTTAATTCTTCACATTGTTTAATACTTCTAGCCAAGGTTCTTGTGCCACTAATAAAGTCAATCTTAAAGTTTTTTTAGTAAAAATATTAAATTATTTGATTAAAAATTAATAGATTTATTTATTAGAATATGTATATTTAAAAATTGGTTAATATTTCATTTCTTCTTATCTGAATCACAAATTAATTTAAAAATCTAATTATTAAATAATATTATATACAGTTTTAAAATATTGAATTATTATTATAATAAAATTTTGAAAAATTCTTATATAAATAAAATTTTAGATTTAAAACTATTTTAAATAATCTTAATAAAAAGTATTTCTATTTAATATCTATTTAAAATATACTTAATTTTTTATTTTATGCTTAAACTAAAAGTTAAATTTACACTTAAATTATATTTAATTTATATTTGAATTATATTTAATTTTTTTTTATTTCAGTATATTTTTAATATATTTTAAGTATAAAATATAATTCAAATATATTTTAAATATATTTTAATAAAAATACTTTTTATAGGGATAAAAGTTTTTGTAATTATTATTATAATTGCTAATAACTTTAAAAATTAAATAAAAATAAGCAAATTAATTTTCTAATTTAAAAATGAGTATATTTAATTTGAATTATAATAATTTTAGCCAGAATTATAAAAAGTTTTAAGTGTAAAAAAATGTATTTATATTTTACAAAATATAGTAATTAATAAAAATCAATAATTTTATTATTAATAATTTATAAATTATTTTGATACAACTAATTTCTTTTATAATTATACCTCTTGAGACCGTCCAATAGTGTAATTATAATAAAGTATACTTATTAATGAAATTATATTTAGTATTCTTATATAAATAAATATAATTATATATATATATATTTGTCATAATGTAAAATATACTTAAAATTATTTATTTGTTAAAGATATTATAAAAATTTTGAAAAATAAAAACTTTTTCTACCACTGAATTTAAAGTGCAGACTATATACTGTATTTTTCCAATATTAAGCACTCCTTTTTGCAGGGATTTTGTGTGAAAAGTTTAGGGGAGTGCTTAATTTCAACAGTTTAGAAAAATGCCTTTTAAACGTCTTTAAATTAATTTAAAATTCGTTTAAAAAAATTTTGCAAAAAAAAGTTTCAATAGTTAAATTCTTTTATTTGTAAATATATTTTTCAATAATAATGTAATCTTGTAATTTTTGTTTTTTTCAATAATATAATAAAATCAATAAGTAGTCGGAGAGGTGCTTATTTTCAGTTTATGCTTGATATCGTGCAAAGTAAGGGGGGTGCTTAATTTCGGAAAATGCTTAATATTGGAAAAATACGGTACTTTATTGGTATTTCATTAAAGACTTTTTCTATTTGTACACTAGTATGCAAAACACGGATCACGTGTTTATCATACTTTCTGGTGATCTACATAAAAATTTCCTTTTTTGGAATTTTGTGTAATGAATTTTCATTTTTACTGAGAAGCAAAATTGCCCTTTTTTTGGATGTGTAACATTACTCCAGTTTCCAAAAATGGAAATTCAGGTAAATTTTGGCTGGAATTATAAATTTGGCCGAAATTATAGGGTGCGACATATAATATGTGACAATTAAGGGGTTTCTTACTGAAAAAAATCTAAGTCCCTAGAATGAATAATAAAAATGGAAAACTAGAAGGGTGTGACATGGGTGACAAATTAAAGTCACGTGAGCACACTAGTGTATTTTAAGAAATTTTCTTTATTAAATTATATAATTTATATATTTATACAAAAGTGTAATTATATTTATAGTTAATAAAATAATTATAAAAAAAATATTTTATATATATAAAAAAATTGGGACTAAAAATATATATTCTAAAAAAAAAAAAGTTTTTATATAAAAGATTTTTGTTTATAAAGAAGGGTTAACTGTAATATTTTTTTTAAAAATAAATAAAATAAATATAATTTTAATTAAAGAATTAAATAAAAAATATAAAATTTTAAATATTTTTAATAAATTTTTATTTTTCATTAATAATTTATAAATTTTATAAGAAATTTTAATTATAGTTGTATTGGTAAGACTAGCAGTAAATATCATTAAGTATATATGCTGTTCAAAGTATTTTAGGATGTCATAATTATAATTTGAGATGTTATAATTCATTTAGTTCATATATAATTTGTTATGTAAAATGCCAAAATAATATGGGATGCCATAATTGAATTTGGGATTTTACTTATAATTATAGCAGCCTAAAATAATTTAGATAATATATATATTATTAAGTATAGACTAAATTCTAACAGTAAATACTAAATATTATATAATAATTAAAATTCTATATATTTTAAAAAAATGCTAAAATATACAAATTAATTATTTTATATAATTAGGGCTTCGATTGGTTTCGGTATCAGAACGGTTTTGGTATTCTGATTTACTGAACCAAACCTTTTGGTAAATTTACTGATCAGTTTCAGTAACTTTAGTTTTGGTATCGGTTTTGCGATTTACCAAACTGATTTACCGAACTGATATTTTCAGTATCAGTTTCAGTAAATTTTACTGATCATTTTGGTAAATTTACTGAACTGATTTGCTGAACATTTCGTGACATTGATAAAAAATGTCGTGAAATGTTTTTTTTGACAATTTAATAAAAATGTTGCGAAACGTTTTTATTAGTTAATTTATTTAAAAAAAAATGTTTCGCAACATTTTTTTTTGATAATTTAATAAAAACATTGCGAAACATTTTTATTTGTTAATTTGATTAAAAAAACATTTTACAACGTTTTTTTTCAATAATTTAATAAAAACGTTGCAAAACGTTTTTATTAGTTAATTTAATTAAAAAAAAACGTTTTTGCACGTTTTTTTAATAAAAAACATTGCGAAAACGTTAAAAACTGAACTGATAATGAATCGGTAAATCAGTTCAGTTTTCGGTATTTACCAGTCAGTTTCAGTATTGATGATTACTGAAACTGATTAGTTTCAGTAATTAATAATACTGATACCAATCAATTCAGTTCAGTTTCGGTTTTGGCAAAAACTATACTGAACTGAACCGATCAGAGCCCTATATATAATATAAAGATTTTTAGTATTATAAAATTTTTATATATTATAAAATTGTTTTATATTAGTTTATATATTTTATTATTAACTCAATTATATTAACTCAATTATAATAATTTATTTATGAATATATGAGAGAACTTTTTTTGACGATTACTATGACCACTTTTTTCGCAGAATAAAAAATTTTACTTTTTATTATTTTTTAGCGTAAAATGTCTTAAGTGAGAAAATACAATATTAGATTTGACCTGGAAAAGGTCACCCAATGTTTTATTTTTGAAAAGAGTTATCTTGGAACACTCAGTACTGTCCTTTAGAATATAAAAAATACTAATCCAACTGATATTCTTGAATATCACTGGTAAAAAAATGATTTATCCTACACATATCTTACACATATTGGGTACTCAAAATGTAGAAAATCATACACAAATAATACACATATCATACACATATTGGGTACTAATATATATATCATACATATATCAGGTACCTGATAGGTATACTATATATATAAGTACCCGATATGTGTATGATATGTGTATTATTTGTGTATGATTTTCTACATTTTGAGTACCCGATATATGTAAGATATGTGTAGGATATGTGTAGGATAGACCATTTTTTTACCAGTGTATGTCAAACTTATTTTACCTGCCGATGAATACAACAGTATAGTATGGAAGACTTTGTTAAGAACCACAAACTGTCTTTTAAAGAACTTGGTCTCAAGTCTGATTTACAACTGTCTACTTGCTATATATTCTCACTGACTTTACCGACGAGTTCATAGCTTACATTAAAGAACATGTAAAGTATACTTTTCAAGAGCAAGTGGTGCAGTTAGAGTCAATAACAATGACCAATGATATGCTAGTATCATTACAGGCACAGCCAATGGAAACAGAAATTTTTGAAAATGTTGAACGCCAATCAATGAATGTAGAACATGATGATCAAAATATTAAACACCAATCAGAGGACGTAATACCTGAATTTTCAACAAAAAACTCTATTAAGAGTTCCACAAAATTGAACGCTAAAGCCATACCTTATACCCAAAAGGAAAAGGATGAACTGTTACATTTGCAGAAATAGTCTCTAGGAATTTAGATGTAGGCAGCAACTGTGACACCTCCTAACTCCACCTGATAATAGGGCAAGAATTAATGTGATCAAGCGTACAGCATCAGATAGCAAGGCTCAGCTGGCTAAGAAGAAACAACAATGTGCTCCTCCAAAAGAAATACAATCAGTAATGACTGGATATGATCCAGTACTCAAGGATAATGTTCGGAAAATTACTTTATATGATATCCTTCCACCTGGGCTCAGCTCGAAATTCTCTAGCATCTTGAGAAATAGGGTTACATGATCACTTTCAAGACTAAACGTTAGAAGAAATATTTAACAGTCACTGTCTCAATTGATTTCAACGAGTGGGCTATGAACCTATGAAATCAAGGAGTCTGGACTACTTCTTTAGGAGGCCTTTCTGTTTAATGGTATCATACTAACTGGAATCTTTAACAAAGAAAGGAACGAGAATGATTTCAGGCTATAATGAAAGATTTACCTAAAAATATCACTACTTCAATGCTTTATCCCTCAAATCCTACCCAATCACCTTTATCCCATTTGGAATGCAAAACTTTCAAGATAGTTCAGGAGAAAAGTACCTGCAAGATCATCATGTATTACAAAAATTGGGTAGATTTGGAAAAAATCATGAATACTAAGCTGAACTTGCAAGAATATGAAGGTGTTTGGACTAGGTACTTCTTGCCTCAACTATCTAAAAGTCGTAATCGATCACTAAAAAGTGACCGTAATCAAAAGCAGAATCAAGATTTGGCTGACAAGGTTGGATCAAAGACTACAAATAACAAGAATTAGAAGAGCAATCCTACCAGAAAAGAATTCAGAAACTATAGGAAACTGAAGAAAGGCTTAGATGGTGACGAAACTGGCAAACTTACACTATTAGTAGAAATCAGGTCGCTACTAAGAAGACTGGAACATTGACAGAATGACAATACCTTTCTTGAAGACTATGCAGGGCGAATGGAACACTATAGTAGAACTTCGTATTTGTAGAATACTAATTTTTATTTTATTAGTTCACCTTTTTTTAAATTTTTTTTTTTTTACCCTGACTTTTTTGTTATTGCCCTTTTATTTCTTTTTGTGTTTGAGTTTGGGTTTCATCTGCAGTAGCAGTAAGTCCTTGAAGACACTCATAATGTAGACTGGAAGGATGGACTCCATCTAAGAAAGGACACCTTCAAGGTGGCACTTACTCCCCTAGCCTAAGTCCTTCACTGACAGTGCACACATGGTTGCTTTGCCAAAGTTAGTGGGTGGTGTAATTCTTGCAGTAAATTAGGATTTCAATTAGTTATACGTATATTGTATTAGCTCGTCTTTTATAAATCTTAAAAAAAAAAAAAAAATAATAATAATTTATTTATTAAAATAATTCTAATATATATAAAATTTTTTTTTTAATAATAAAATTATAATAATAATATTATATAATTTTTTTTTATATTTATAGTTAATATAAAATATTTTATATTTTACATAAATTTATATTTTATCAATCTAAAAAAATTCTAAATTATATAAAATTATAACTTTACTAAATTATACTACTAATACTTAATACTATAATATATAATAATAATATTAATTTCCTGTCACACTAAGTGTCATTCATGATCACCTTCATACTAATTTTTAAAAATTGCAAGTGTTTAGCTGAGTTTATAAATGATCAGAAATCTTTGTTTAGTTATTTTCCAGCTTTATATAGATAGCCAGGAAATTACTAATTCTGGTTAAGTTTAAAATAGTTAATATTTAATGAATGACATGTTCTAGAGGATGAACATTAGGGATTTTATCTCTTTAGGAAAAAAATCCTATTATTTCCAACTTCCCATGAAATAAATAATACATATTTTTTCAAAAACTATAGTCTAAACTAAATAAATTATATTGTTTAATATACTTAAAATAATTAGAAAATTTATATATATTGCAAATATTTTTAGTTTTATAATATAAGATAATTAATATGCTTACTGGATATATCTATTAGATGAATGTGATGATTTTAAAGAAATGGTTTATATATAAAATTCTATTTTTAATAAAGTTACTGCTTTTATGAAAGTAATAAAAAAAAAGATAATTAGTTAATTGGAATCATATTAGTTTTTTTTTTTTGAATATAAAGAATTTGTTTTATCAAGATTTAACAAGAAGATATATATGCAAAGTGATACAGAATTTATATTTTAAAAAATATATAAAATATATCAATTCTTGTTAATACAATATACTTCCGATATTAAGCACCGTAATGCTGGCCAGAAACAGCATAACATAATCCAAAATTTTTATAATTCTGGCCAGGGCTACTTATTTTCGGGAGTGCTTAATATCGGAAGTAAGCATCCTTAACGTACAGCGGGATGAACGTACGAACTGGCCCGAGTTTATAGCGTTAACGTTAACTCCGGCCAGTTCGTACGTTAATATCGTACACCCCCACTGAACACTAACTGTTAAGGAACCCCATCGGGAATTATACGGTAATTAAAAATGAAATTCTATTGCACTTTTAAAGTATTAAATCTGGATATTTTGGATAAAATATTATGCTAATTTAAACCTTGCTGACCTTGCACAAATTGAGAATTTACGTTATTTGTACAAGAAACGCCGATATTATTTCATATTTCACAATTGCAAAACTCGTTCTATAACTACCAATTTTAATTCTTTGTCCAAATTTCATTAAATATCATTTTATCAATGAGATATCCCTTAAATTGACGTAAACAAATATTATTCTTTAAAAAATCTTGATGTATCATAATTAGTCAGCATTATAACTACTAATACCGAGCAAATTTTTTGCGGGGCCCGGTTCAGTATATATCCCGAGCCGGTGCAGAGTAGATAGAATAATCGAGTACAATATTTATCCGCTAATAAATTATTATATTGTTTTTGTTTCCTAATTTTGGTAATTTGTACAATATCACTAATGTAATTATAAAATTTGGGCAAATTGGCAAAATTCTGAATCTAACCTAACGTATATACAGTATTTGATGCATTTTATTACAAATTTCTTATTTACACGTTCCTCTCTCTCTTTTCTGGTGTAAAATTTCATCATGAGCTTAAATTGTCATTGTTATAGATGTAATATCGTTGACTATTCAGCAAACGCTTACTTTTCATTAAATAATGAAGACGAACAAAATCTTATTTTACAAATTTGTGTAGGAATTCTTAAAGCTATTCAAGATGAGAAGTTCTCTATAGATATTTCTTATAATGGAAGTTCATTGACACACAAACAAATTAATAACATTACTCAAGTTGAAAATTGTATCGATAGAGAATTTAATCAACTTTTTAGAAGTAATAAACTACATAAAAAAATAAATAAACTTCCGATCAGTATTTGGAGAATCGAATTTGAATGGACCGATAATGACTTCTTAATCAAGCGGCTTTTAAAAATTTTAAGAGAATGGTTTAATCCTTTTACTAATTATCTTCAAAAGATAGATAATCAAAAGAGAAATAAATTGGTATCAGATCATTCAAATGACGGAAAATTAAAACAATATCTTATGAATAATTTAAAAAATCATTTTCCGGGATTTGAATACATAATAGAATATTCTTGGAAATCATGCGATAATAATAATTGTTATGGAGATTTTATTTTCGCTTCAGATTCTGGCATTTTCATTGTAATTAAAGCTAAATGGTTAAATGTGAGGCGTGGACCTAATGTAAGAAAGTCAAGAATTTCTAGTAATAAAGAAGATAAAATTCAAGTTTCAGAATATAAAAGTAAAGTTTCAGAAGAATTTAATGGAAAATTTATCATAGTTCTTGGAGTAATATTTACGAATAATCTTGATGAAAATAATGTTATACTTAAATTTGTTGATGATGATGGAATGATTGCAAAACATTTTAAAGAAGTTTATGGATTTTCTTATCCAAAGACAAAATATGAATCATATGATGAATGTCAGATTTTTTTACAAAATCGTGATAATTTCGAAGATTCTTCTCATAATTATCAAACAGCGGCTTCAACCAGACAAGGTAAGTTTTGTATATCCCTATCCTTGTTTCAAAAATGGAGATTAATAAATATGCAACTGTTTTTTTTAGTTGATGATCCATCTTATGGGTCTGTCGCCACACGTGCACTTTCTGGTATTGCTGCAATTGTGGCAGCTGGTTATATGTTTTACCAAACATTCATAAAAAAAAGTGATGGTAAATAAATCTTATAGTGTTCGAGTAACATAATTTATTTCAAATGATGTATGTTAAAAAATAAAATAATAAAATAATATTGAAGTTCTTTACTTATAAGTTATAATATCACAATTATTAGATGATTGGTAAAGATTTGCCCACGTAGTGGTCAAATCAGTATGCTAGAATTGGTTATTAATGGTATATTTATCAACGCAACGATATTATCGTGTGACCCATTGCATAGACTTTAGCTTAATTATAGCTTAATTATAGATTTATTAACAATTATATTTAATATACGGAGCACGATAATTTATGATAATCTCGTGAATGAATGAATATAACTTGTTTACAACAAGTTCTTGAACGCCCACAAAATTTTTTTCATCGTATTTTATTATCCCTTCCTAATTAAAAATGGTACAGCGCTACAGCCAGTGTAACAGTAAATACACTATATTATGCATCAGTAGGTAACTTTTCGCTTTTTATATTACAATATGAATAAAATTTATGATGTTAACGATAATTTACAAAGAAAATCTATTCTAAAAATCTGTTCTCAAATTTTATCTATTCCTTTTGCTCAAATAAATTCCTCTATACCTTTGGAGGATGATGGATATTTTAATGAAAACGATGATAGAATATGTCAGGAAGTTTTTCAGAAGAATAACGTTAGAGTTGTAAACCGTTATATTTTAAACGATGTACAAAATCGACTTTATACTCGACAACTTTACATTGAATATGATAAAGATACATTGAAAAATATTATCCCAATTTGTAAAAGTTGGTTCACACCTCTTATTAGTGATTTGAAGAAAATAGACAAAGAAAAAAGAAATGAATGGACTCAAAACCATGATATAAATAATTCAGCAGAAGGATTAAAAAGTTTATTAATCAATAGTCCCATTACGACTATTCCTGGTTTTAATTATCTCATTGATATTCATTGGGACAATGAAGATCGTAAAAATAGTTTAATATTTGGATCAGATTATGGAATTTATTTAACAGTTGAAACTCAATGGCTTAACATGAATCATGGTCAACGTGCAAAAAGACTTAGAGATGATGCTAGAATTGATGTTAAAGAACGAGCACGAAGACTTAAAGAGTTTGCAATTGCGAAATATGGAAATGTTGCGATTAAGATAATTGGTGCTTCTTATACGAATGACAATGAAAATGAAAAACTTCAATTTGTAGATAATCAAGATAAAGAGATTGCGAGAATTATCGGACATTTGTATCACGGAGGTAAAAATGTTCATTTAGGTATTTCGGGTTTTATTTTCTTGATAAAACTAATATTTGAAATTCTTCATTCATTTAGGTATATTTATTATTATATTTGTTGTATTATGTATGTTGTTGTATTTTTACGCCATTTCAAATATGAAATAAAAATGAATTGCTTCCAATTCCTAAATTTCCTTAATTAAAGTAGATTGATAATGTACATATCTATCTATTAAATAACAATCAAAATCATCTTCAATAAATAGCGGCACTGAATTTTTTAGCCGAGAATTAATTTTTATTTTATTGTTTTTCATTCTTATATATATATATATTATATATATATATTGTCAAGTTAAAATAATAAGTAATTCAAGATCTTTCTTTTTTTTCAATAGTACTGGGCTACCGGCAAGAGCTTTATCCCGTTTTTGTAATTCATTAGTATTATGCACAGAAAGATGCCAAATCCACACGTACTTTTTTCAGGATTCTCTAATATCCATTTTGAATTTTATTAAAACAGTTAAAATTTTAATTGGAGGGTAAATGAGAGAAAAATAAACCTGTCTGATAATTAAATATAATGGCCTATAACATAATCATTGTAAATTCAGTTTGCATCAAAGCAGAACTTATCTTAAATTACATATCTTTTTATAACGAAAAGATTTTGCAATTTACAAACGTCTTTAATAATTTGAAAATATTCAGCTCACTTTTAATCATCAGTTTATGATTACAAATTTTCATATTACCCTATATTTCCGAAATCAAGCACCAGAGATTGAGCATTATTCTGGAAAGATTTTGGCCTACATTATACTGATACGCTATTATAGTCATGCAAACATGCTTTTAAAGATTTTTTTTCGATAATTAACCTGCCTTTTATATTATAAGCAAAGTTGCTTCCCAAGTTGAATTACATTTATTTTAAAAATTGTATAAATTTCTGATTCAAATCGATGATTATATCTTTTATTAAAAAAAATTAGATTCATAATGAATTTAAAATATCATCAAAAAAGATTTTGTTTTATTACATCTTTTTTTGTTCCGCTTCGCCAAAAAAAATATAAATATAAGCACAGCTTCTATAGGGTCTTAGGCCGGGCCCAGTGTAGTGTTGGGCAATTGGACAATTTGATGTTTTGGACACTTGTCCAAAACCAAAACCTTTTTCCATTGGACAGACCACATGACAGTAAAATTAATTTGGGCCAGATTTATAACTAATTTTCAGTTAATTTAAAATTTAACAGTACAGGCTTTGCATACAAATTGGCGCCCGCTTCAGCTTTTTCTAAAACTATTACATAAGTAGAAAGTATATGCCTTGGTCAGCCTCCAGTTTTATGTGGCATGAATAAAGAAAAGAAGGTGTGAATGTAAAAATGTAAAGTGTAAAATAAGAAATGGTCAAAACGTATTAACTTTATATTCGGGTTGATCAGATTTCCCAAATTTGGGTTTTGGACAATTTTGGACAGTCCAAAATTGTCCAATTCAAAAAACCAATTGGACAAGTCCAAAACCCACCACTGTAATAAATTTACAGACAGACTATCTGTCAGTCTGTTAGACTCTCAGAGTTTGTTGGCCTGTGAAAGAGGAAAATTTATACAATTATAATAAACAACCCTTCCCAGAAAATTCTCATATAGGTAAGGCTACACTCGATCTCTCAAATTGCCATAATGTGTTATTGAACTGCCATTATACCACCATTTCCATTCAGTTTTTTTTTTGCATATAGGGCAGATTCGAGCAAAGTGACTATCATCTGTTCTTTTGAATCATCTACTAGTAAATTAATAACTTCCTTTTCTTATAAAGAGGAAGGAGCTCTAGACATTTTCAAAATTTGAGATTTGGGTGGTGCCGTGGTGGTACTTACCTGGGATGTGAATAGTACGAGATGTGACCAATATACTCATCTTTACATCAGGTAATTTTTCGAACTAGAAGAATTGAAAATATTTAACTCAGTTTTCGAAGTCACATGACTGATCGAGGGAACGGTTTCAATATCTCGAAACTATTGAATTTTAAAAAAATAGCTTATTAGTAAGTGAAATTTTTAATTTAATAATACTATTATCATAGATCAATTGAACTGAATTGATATGAGAATTTTAAGTTGTAGTTAATACTACAGTTTGGTTTTGACTTGGTTAAACTGATGGAATTGATAAGTTGATGGGGTTAAGTCAATAGAAATTACTGTAATAGTAATAACTCCATAGTTTAACTTAATAGTTCAAATTGACATGCATATGACATTGATTTCGATTTAGAAAGCATTAACAATACTATAATCTTATCAGATATATCGTATACTTCTAATTATTTTGCAAATATACTGGCCAAATTAGCGTAATTCTAATAAGATATGTTTAATGCTTAATTTCATATTGCAGATAGTATATAAAAATGGAAAAATGAAAGTGGGTAAATTTGAAAAGTGTTCAAAAAATCTCATATATTGATTCGAATTTTTAAAGATAACGATTGAAAATGAAAATAATCACACAAATAATTACCTATGCCTATGAAACATCTATGAATTTTTGTGAGTGAAACATTAAATGAAACGAATTAGTTTTTTTTTGTAAAATGTTCTATATAAATCCTTTCTAAAAACGATAACAACTATATACATATATTAATTATAATAATTATTATTACTTTTTACACATATCATAAAATATCATAACCTTATATATTCATAAAAAAAAAATGAAGAGGAAACGAAAAAGTTTGAATATAACATATTCGTCGAATTAGATTTTTCCTTTTGCGAAAAATTTCAGGTCGTCATTATGACGAAAAATATTAATTAATTCAGGAAAATACAAGTGCCTGCTCGTATAAAAAGCTTGGGGATGGATTTTTTGTTGTCGAAATTTATTTCGTTCTAAATCTGAGAATTTTTTCTCTTCCGCAATATCAAATTGGTCAGATAGTTCGGATGGATCTGGGTCATCACAAATAGCAGTTACCCAACTTCCTAATAACTCATATAATTTAGATGCAGTGGGACGCTTTGAAGGATCAGGATGCCAACATTGTGTCATTAATTGAATATAAACTTTTGGAGTTCCATCAATAATTTCAGGGCGAAGACCAAAGCAAATTTCACTAGCTAATCTGAGATCGTGCGGTCTATCGCACCATGGACGAGAACCTGCAGAAAGAGTCCACATGATAATTCCGAAACTATAAATATCTGAAGCCTTCGTTGGTGGATTTCCCTTCAAGATTTCGGGAGCAACATAAGGAAGAACTCCAAATATTTCATTGGTATCTCTTTTATCAATTGGACCATGTAATCCTACATCTGCAATACGTGTATCGACCGAGTCTGGTTCATTTTCAACCAATAAATTACCTCCATGAAGATGGCCATGAATTAATCCACATTCGTGAATATTTTCAACACCACCAGATATCCCCCAAAGCATATCTACAATATCTCTCCAACACAGCATTCCTTGTGCTTCATCAAGATATGAATGCAAATCTCCATTCTCATAATATCTCATGACGAACATGTAATTCGAGGTAGGATCCTTTGTAATGCCAAAACAATCTGCAACACTTCCACTTTGTAGACATCGATGATATTTATAAAGCTAAAAAAAAATTTATGTAAATTAAAAATTCAGTGATAATAAAACACTAAAACACTTTAGAAATTATAACTTACTTGTTTAAAATATTCTTCGCTAATATTTTGCGAATTGTTAAGTCTTTTAAGAGCAACTTTTATAGGTCCATTACGTGTCCATTGTTCAGCATCTTCATCCCACACCCATCTAGGACCTTCCATCCAAACTGCTGAATAAATAGTGCTAAATGCGCCTCCTTTATTTGTGTTTTCTATGAGATCGAATTGGTCGAAATTAACATATTCCAAGTAATCCACACTTTCACTCGCGTGCAACTGTGTGTGTTTAATAAAATTATCCATATTAATATTTCCACTCGTCCAGTTTTTAAAATTATCTTTCAGAGCATTAATTTCACAATCTTTACACCATCCAACGCTACTTCGTTCCTTCCTACAATCTAAACATTTTCCAAAGTCAATATTCGACTTTGTTTTTGACTCATTCTCAATAAAATCCATATAATCTAGATCCCCATTTTGTCGAGAAGACATATTTGACATTCTATAAAAAAAAAAATTTGGTAAGTTACACAAGCCATTAAAAAATTGATTTATAAACAAATGGTTTGTTTGTATATTCAATTCACGTCCGCTTCACACTCATATGTATATTTATAGTGAAATATTACTCCTGAGAGGATCTACAGATCTATCTGTCCATCTTATGATCTGCATGACCATATGAGTCTATGTTTATTGTAGTTATTGGGTGGAATATTATATCATCCGAGATTGCTTTGCATCTCAGCCCTTACCAAATAACTAAAATATACAGTGTACATCGGTGTGTCACCAAATATCACGTGGTGCTGCGAGAGCGGCAAAAGTACAGACTTGACTTAATATCGTATTAAATATATGAGGGGTTAAGTCAATCACATTTACGTTTTGCACGGAAGTTATTTCCATCACGCAAGATGAAAATACAAACAAACCAATTTTATTTCTTAAACACAACCTTATCGGAAATTAAATGGAAAAACTTACAATTAACAAAAATGTTTAGTTTTTTTTTTTAATGGGAGAGGACAGAGGAGTTCAGCTCTGAGCTTAATGGATAATTTTTAGCTACTTTTATATGTTTTTTAAGCCTTCACGGTTAGTGACACATGCAAGTTTAATTAAAATTAATCACGCTGTTGTTTTGTTGATCAAACGTGCGTAACAAAGATCGATAAATTTCTTCTAAATTTTGTTCCAAAATTTGTCTCTTTAACTTTCCAAAAAAAAAGAAAAAATTTACGTTTAAATAATAGTGGTAATGGTATAAGAAATACTTTTGCTGCTTTCAATGTTTTCAATAAAAAAAAAAATTATCAAAAATTTTTTTTTTAAGTTGTAGACTATTAAAACGAAATCTGTAGGATTTAAAATCATATATTAATATGATCAGCATCCGTGATAGTGCATTTCATATGAGTGAACCATTCTAGCGAAGGTTGTAATGGGATAAGTGCTTAAAAATTGTTATGTGCAGGAATCTTCAAACTGTCAAAAAATCATCACCATAGAATTAACTACTTTTTTTAAACAGGTATATAAATTGTATTATTTTGTGTTACTAACTTTAAAATAAAGCTATCAACTATCACGCGATTACGTCAAAAAATTCTCATGAAATTCACGTGAACTTAACTAATTGGTTATATGAATGAACGAATGATATTTTTAAATTGGCACATGCAAAGAAACAAAAATTCTTTTTTCGATATTCATTCTAATTAATTAAATGCAAGAGTTTATTGGTGAAAGAATCATTGTAATAAAATTTAGAACGATAAACAAGATTAATTAACATGTTATAATTGAAAAATTAGATTAGATGATTTTTTGTTTCATGAATGAATACGAAGGTAACTATTTCTGACAAATATTACATTAAAATTAACGTCATGTCGCGTAATAGAAATTAAGTGATTGGTAAAATATATAATAAATATTTTTCATTCATACTTTGAATAAATAGGTCAAATAGTTGACCTGTTTATCGTTTCGAATATTTTCGACCTATTAATAGAATCTTTCAAATAATAAACTTTTGTGAAAATTATCTGAGGACAGCATTTCAACGGAAGAGAATCTTTAATTAGAATCACGATACCGCATATATTGGACAAATTTGATTCATTCTCTTTAAATGCTAGACTTAATAAAACTCGGTCTTCACATTTTCATACTGAAAACAACGAAATCTGTATTAGATAATCTGTAAAATTATTTAAGGAATACTTAAACTTTAATAAAAAACATTTGAATCTTTATTTTCATATGACATCAGGCCGAAATAGTCGGAAGATCCGAGCCTTGTTTAACTTATTTATCCGAAGTGTAATCATTAACACATTCTTAATTAATAATTGAATTACATAAAAAGTAATGTCTGAACCCTAGAAAAAAACACGTACTCGTACATGGAAAATTGTATTCATTACATGAAACAATTATCTTATTATCTTCATTTACAAACACGTTCATTAAATCCTATAATATATTATAGGGCACGCGGATTATCCATTTTAATCTCATGTAAATAAATATTCAAAATAGAGAATTCGTTGTGAAATTAGTGATTATAAATTTGGATCACATTTTGAACAACGAGATCTCAAACATCTCTTGATATTTTGATACAAGCTTCATATGTTCTTATGTTAGACAGATGTGCTGTTAATTATAATAAAAAAAGCGGACATTTACGCGAATTTATTAAAAATTATTAAAACAATAAATTTATTTATATTTAATAATTACGTGATTTTTTAAAAAAAAAACGTATGATGTCATGCATTATCAATCTTTTATACAGACATATCAGATGCAAGTAAATATTATTAATGCTTTTAATGAAATACCGTAAAGCCCTTCATAAAGCTAAAACAAAATATATGCGTTGTTCCATAAAAATATAAATCGATAAAATTAATCTTATATTTTTATCCAAATTAATTTGTATATGTGTTACTATTTATGGTTATAATGACCTTCCAAAAAAAGTTACACCATAAGAACAAAGAAAAAAATTATTTCTTTGTCTAATAAAGAATTTAAATATGTAATTAATTTATCAGTAATTAATTATTCATCATTTGACCTACCCATTTCGTTTAACAACACTATAATTAAATTCGAGATTATTCTGATTTCAGCATGTAATTTATAGATGTATCATTCAATTAGATAATATTAAATGAGTAAAAAACCAACAATAATAATCAGCTTAATTGTTTTATTTATGGTAAGTTATAATTGGAAATCAAAGGAATTTTCTTTTGAATTTTTTGATTCTTTTTTTTCTATATTTGAAAGTCAAATATCAATTGGTATATTATTAATACACCATTCACGTATTGTACATTTTGATTTTGATTCAGCCACATAAGCCGTATGAATAAACAGGCCGGTTAAATAAATTAGCCGTATATTTAATCAAATTAATACTTTTTTGAATAAATGAATTGTTTTAAAAATTTTCTTACAAATGTTTGGCGCAAAAACGCTATATCAACAGGTGGAATTGCATGACACGAAAATTTGCTTACGTGTACTATACTATATATTATCGAAATCAATAGAATTAATTAATCGATGTGAACGGAAGCAAAGATTTAACAAAGGCTAATAATCGAAATTTACTTTTCTATTTGTCTATTGCAAAAAAATAAAATAAAATTACACAACATGACTCTAGCGCATTCGGTTGGTGCAATTTATCACTGTAACCACGGGACATTTGTGTCACAATTCGAGACGTATGTATACTGTATATATATTCTGATTTAGTGAAATTACATCATTGAAGCTATTATCAGTAAATTTGCTAAATAGTCACAAAAAAAATACATATTGACGTATTGGTGTCGCAAATAATTTTCGCATCCGTAAAGGGCTCTTGATAGTTTCACTTCCATCCCGATTTTTAAAATTTCTTTGCAAGTTTATTATATAATAATTTTAAATATTAATATTTACTATTTTTTTGAACAATATTTATTAAGCAGAGAATAATCATTTAAAAAATAATAATAATATGTATATAATTATGCTGTCAAAAAATGTCAACAATCAAAATTTTGACACCATTATACTTCGATGTATCTCGATGTAACGATTGTAACGTTATATTATTATTAGGTTTCACAAAATAAACCATACTGTACATATTCGATAATTAGTATGCAGCTATGCAACATAAAAGTTTTTGTCGCTCTTGTCAATTTATTACAATTAAAGAACTAGTTTTTTTAATTCAAGTTTCATCAAGAAATCCTTCATATTTTTTTTAAATTCATATATAGCAAAAGTGTCCTATTTTCTGCGGCACAATCACTATAAATAAATAGATCGACATTAATTAAAATACTAATGCATAAAATAATTAAAAAATCGGAGTTATTATGAATTCTGTTTGTTAATTATAAATTAATTTTTTTGGAAGTTCATTGAACATGTAAACATTATAAATAGTCCATATAAGCCTCACAAGACATGTAAACCCTGTCAAGAGGCAACACTATGATTTTAATGCAAAACAAAAAATCATTTATTTTTCTCCACATTTTATTATTGACTTTTTAGAATATTATATCGTATTTTGTCATTTTATATCTCGCATTATACTTTGTGTTACAATGCAAAAGTATTCTCCTGCTGCGATTACATATATTTCATTAAATATTATAAATTTGTCTTTGTCAACATTCATTATTATTAAATTATGTATATCACCTAATTATTTCACAAAATATACTCAGTTCCAATTATTTATAGCATCGTGGGGATATACGATAGGATGTTTACTAACTATAATAAAATATGGCGATGACATCATCAATAAATCGTTCGAGACTCATCAAATTTCTATTTGTGTGATTCAACAGATGATTTCTCTATTCTTCTTTTATCCTTTACATATATTCCCTGTCATATTAGGATTTTATATTTGGAACACAATTGAAAATCAAAACATAAAAATAGAAAAAAAGTTTTTTTGGCCATTTTCAATTCTTATTTGGTGTTTTACAATTTGCTATAATGTATTTTCGTTAGCTGACGGATACCAAAAAGACATCCGTGTTACACCCTTGCTTTGTAAACCTCCGAATTCTAACCTACATAAAATAATTTACCTAATAATAATTTCCCCACTATTTTGCATAGCATTAATATTTATTTGTAAGAATTTTCTTGTTTATTTATTTATTTAATAATTCTTTATATTCTAACTAAATTTGACAAACAACTCTTTTTTTTTTACCAAATATAGACTTCACTGCAATAATATTATGGAAACGTTGGCAGCAATATTCGATAAGGAAAAATAGATGGAATGCACTTAGATTAGGCCATGTGCTTTGTCTATTCATCTGTGACGTTATTTACACGATTTTACTTGGTACATCTTTATTATCAAGAATTATGTCTCAATATATAAAAAAATCGGAAAACCCCGAAGTAAACAAAATTGTTATTGAAGATTTCGTTCAACCTTTCATGTACGAATTTTATTTAATCTTAATAATTCTCTTAGTTATTTTTCTCAGATCCAGTAAATTAACAATTTTCCTTGCATTTTTTTTTTATAAACTACATACAGAGGAATTATATTATTTTTAATATTCGTCAAAAAGGATTCTCCGACAGTTCTGTTACCTTGTTTTTATTATGATAGTCCTAAAAAATTATTGATTCAATCGGAATATAGAGATGATAATTTCTTATATGCAAGATCTTCAATTATTTCTTCTTCCAGCGAAATCAATCAAATATCAATTACAGTACAACAAGTTACAACAATTACGTCACATACCACACTAGAAATATCATCTATGGACACAACAAATAAAAACACAAATGAAATTAGAGGAATTGAATGAAACATCTTTCATAAATATAAATATTTTAATTTAGTGATTATATTACATTATTGTCAAATTTTCATATCGTATTATTGTAAATATTTACATAAAGTCATATACATATTATTAATTATTTGAATTTTTCTAAATTAATTTCGTTTCATAATTAAAATTTTAAAATTCAATATCAAATGTTTCAACACTTAAAAAAATTCTATTTAGAACGTTATCAATCTCATATTCAAATATACTTTTTCGTACAAGAATATTGTTGCTTGTTTAATTATAATTAAAAATTAATTAACCAAGACATCCACCTGGTAATGGTTCCGTTCCGATTGGTATTTGGTTTAAGTAATATGATAATAAACATTGCAAAGCGCCAAAAAGATTAAACAAAGACAGAGACGCATGTTAGAATTGCACATAAGGTATTGATAATACATTTTTAGGTTAGTAGTTCTTTCAAATTTTTTTAATGACCATATATGTTTTATTATTCCCTTGATGTGGTATAACAATAGATATATGGGGTTATGCATGTGAAAAAAAACTACCCAAATGGAGATCACAATATTTTGACATAGTTCAAGCAATATTTTGGTAAATATCAATCACGAAGTTCCTGTAAATTTCCCGATTCGTTCAGATCTATTTTGGAATTTGAACCAATAATTATTTGTACATGTGCAATTGTGCATGAATGAACGACAAAGAAGCGTATAAAATTAACATTTTTCCATCCACGTGATCTTAATTAATTGGTTCTCTCCGTTCTCTAATGTCACACACTTTTACAATTCTTAATGCCGGCTGAATGTCATAATTCTGGCCAAGGGGGGAATTACATGACACGCATAGAATCTCATGATGAATTCAGCCTGCATTATGATGATTTTGGCCGGAATTATATTAAATCATATGATCAGTTTTACGTAAAAATTTTTGAATTAATTGTCCCAAGAATTTTTTAATAAAAACATATAAATATATATACAACAATTAATTCTTTGGGACACGTCTAATTAAATGTTATCCTGGACACGGATATCTAGTTGATCAGTGATCACTATATAAAATAAAGACTTTTGTGTATTTGTGTATTTGTCAGCTTGACGAAACTTTTTTTTTTTTCTTCTTCCTGACTCTCTTGATTTGGAGGGAATATCACTAATTGTAATGTAACTATAAATATTAGTAAAAACCGAACATGAATGTATTAAGATGTATTATAATAATAAATTGTAACTATTTAATTAAACTATAACTACTATAGCTAATAATACTGGTTACATGGTTTATAAACGGCAAAAAATACTATATACTAGATGCCCATTATTGGCCAGGTGGTAATATTAATTATTCATCATAACAAAAATTGGAATAATTTTTCTTTGATTACATAAGAACATTCAATTATGTGGATTTTATTGAAGTCTAATTAAATCTTTGATAATTTCAAATAAATTGCTCCTAAAAATAATATATATTAATGGATATTTTAAACAAAAGCATTATTTTCTAAATTATTTAGATCGAAATTTTATTGTACAAAATTTAAATAAAGCTTTGGTGTTGCAACATTATGGAATCATAAAAAATCAACTTTGAATTACATGCTGCCTTGATTTTGCGAAACCTAATAATAATGGTGCCAAAAATTTGATTGTTGACATTTCTTTGACAGCGTAATTACATGTATATACGTACTATTTATTACTAAATTTTCTCTGTTTAATAAAGATAGATTGATCAGCAAAATGGCAAATATTAATTTTTAAAATAAACTCTTAGAAATTTTTAAATCGTTATAGAAGAGATTTTTGTGAAATTAATGAAATATTTATTATATTTACCAATCACTTTAATTTCTATTATGCGACATGACGTTAGTTTTAATGCAATAGTTGTCAAAAAAGTTATCTCCGTATTTATTCATGAAAAAAAAAGTTATCCCCGTAAAATCACCTAATTTTTTTAATTATAACATGCTAATTAATCTTGTTTATCGTTCCTTTCGCAAATAAACATTTGCATTTAATTAATTAAAATAAAGAATTTTTTTTCTTTGCATGTGTAAGTTCACGTGAACTTCATAAGAATCTTTTGACGTAAGTTTAAAGTTAGTAACACGAAATAATACAACTTAAAAAAAAATTTCATGATAATTTAGCATTATACCATCACCATTATTAATCGTGAATTTTTTTTCTTTTTTATTTTGGGAACAAGTAAAACGCGTGATTAGAGGTTACAATAAACCGGTTTAGAACCGGGTATCGTTTAAAACCAACCGGATAAAGATTTACGACTAGAAATATTAATAAGTTTTATTCATAAATATTTCCAAGTTTATATTACCAACCAATTAGTTAAGTTCACGTGAACTTCATAACGTAAGTTGATAGATTATTTTAAAGTTAGTAACACAAAAATAATACAATTTATATAATTTTTAAGCACTTACCCTATTGAAATGCATGCTGATCATATTAATATATGATTTAAATCCTACAAATGTCGTTTTAATAGTTCACAACTTAAAAAAAATTTCGATAATGTTTTTTATTGAAAACAACAAAAGTATTTATATACCATTACCATTACCACTATTATTTAAACGACAACCTTCGGAACAAAATTTAGAAATTTTATCGATCTTTGTTACTCCCGTGTGATCAACAAAACAACAGTGTGATTGATTTAATTAAACTTGCATGTGTCACTTAACCATGAAAAGGCTTAAAAAACATATAAAAGTAGCTAAAAATTATCCATTAAGCTCAGAGCTGAACTCCTCTATCCTCTCCTATTAAAAAAAAAAAATTAAACATTTTTGTTAATTGTAAGTTTTTCCGATAAAATCAAACAAGTTTGTGTTTAAGAAATTAAAAATGGTTGGTTTGTATTTTCATTTTGCGTAATGGAATCACTTCACGCGCAAAGCGTAATTGATTTGACCTCATATATTTAAACGATATATGTAGGTTAAGTCCGTACTTTTGCTGCTCTCGCCAAAACGTTATAGCTAATTCCACTCCACGTGTTGATATTTACTGGTGACACACTATAGTTATTGGGTAAGGGCTGAGATCCTTTCCCATTTCCTTTCCCTTCGTCCCTTTCCTTCATATTTCCAACATGAATGCCACTTTCCATATAAAAAAAATTTTGAAACTTAATTTTTTTTGCTTCGCGTCGTGATAATTCCAAAATATTGATCTACCATCTAATGATCTACATGATTTTTAAGTTCAATATACAGTAAATATACAATAAGAGTGTGAAGTTGTTTGGCGGACGCAAATTGATTATTAACACAAACAAATTTTTTAGAGTATACTTGAGTAACTTACTAAATTATTTTTTGTTTTTAGAATATTTAAACATGTCTTCTCGACAAGATGAGGATCCAGATTATATGGATTTTATTGAGAATGAGTCAAAGACAAAGTCGAATATTGACTTTGGAAAATGTTTAGATTGTGGGAAGGAACGAAGTAGCGTTGGATGGTGTAAAGATTGTGAAATTAATGCTCTAAAAGATAATTTTAAAAACTGGACGAGTGGAAATATTAATATGGATAATTTTATTAAACACACACAGTTGCACGCGAATGAAAGTGTGGATTACTTGGAATATGTTAATTTCGACCAATTTGATCTCATGGAAGACACAAATAAAGGAGGCGCATTTAGCACAATTTTTTCAGCAGTTTGGATGGAAGGTCCTAGATGGGTATGGGATGAAGAAGCTGAAAAATGGACACGTAATGGACCTGTAAAAGTTGCTCTTAAGAGACTTAACAATTCACAAAATATTAGTGAAGAATATTTTAAACAAGTAATATATAGTTTTAAAGTGTTTTATTTATCATTGAATATTTGAATTTTATGAGTTTATTTTAATTTACATAATTTTTTATAGCTTTATGAATCTCATCGAAGCTTACAAAGCGGAAATACTGCAGATTGTTATGGAATTACAAAAGATCATACATCAAAATACATGTTCGTAATGAGATATTATGAGAATGGAGATTTGCATTCATATCTTGATAAAGAACAAGGAATGCTGTATTGGAGAGATATTGTAGATATGCTTTGGGGGATATCGGGTGGGATTGAAAATATTCACGAAAATGGATTAATTCATGGGTATCTTCATGGAGGTAATTTATTGGTTGAAAATGAACTAGGCTCAGTCAATGATATATGTATCGCGGATGTAGGATTACATGGTCCAATCGATAAAAAAGATACTAATAAAATATATGGAGTTCTTCCTTATGTTGCTCCTGAAGTCTTGAACGGAAATCTACCAACGATGGCTTCGGATATTTATAGTTTTGGAATTATTATGTGGACTCTTTCTGCGAGTACTCGTCCATGGTGCGATAGACCGCATGATCTCAGATTAGCTAGTGAAATTTGCTTTGGTCTTCGCCCTGAAATTATTGATGGAACTCCAAAAGTTTATATTCAATTAATGACACAATGTTGGCATCCTGATCCTACAAAACGTCCTACTGCATCTAAATTGTCTGAATTATTAGGAAGTTGGACAATTGCTACTTGTGATGACCCAGAACCATCTGAATTATCTGACCAATTTAATATTGCTGAAGAGAAAAAATTCTCAGATTAAGAGCAAAATAAATTTCAACAACAAAAAATCCATCCCCAAGCTTTTTATACGAGCAGACTCTTGTATTTTCCTGAATTAATTAACATTTCGTCATAATGACGATCTGAAATTCCTTGCAAAAAGAAAAATCTAATTCGATTATATTCAAACTTTTTCGTTTCCTTCTTTATGAATATATAATGTTATGATAAAAATTTTATTTTATGATATAATATATAAAAAGATTATAATATGTATATAGATTATTACCGTTTCAAAAAGGATTATAGAATATTTTCGTTTCTTTTAATGTTTCACTCATAAAAATATTCATAGATGTTCATTAATTATAGGTAATTCGTAGGACTTCAATCGTATCTTTAAAATTTGA